TTTTTTTTAAAATAACTGTATAAAACATTTGCCTTTTATTGTTTCAAAAATTGATCAATTACTGTCTTTGTGGTTTTTTGCTTATATATATTTTTCAAACATCGTTTCTAATTTTTAACAAATTTATACAGTTTTCATTTTGTTTTAAATAGTAATAAAACATTTTTAATAAACAGTTTACAACAGCAAAAATTAAAATCATAAGTAGACACACTATCAATAAATGATAAAAAGTTTTTTTTATAAATTTTAAGTTTGTCAAATAGCTTTATACAGGTATGATCATTTTTACCTGGCTAAACTCACAAAAAAAATTTGTTTTTATAAGTTTATTTCAGCAAAATGTTTTTTTATCAAATGTAAAACTCACATTTTAAAGCTGCAACATATAAAAAATTCCATTTTATTTTTTAATTTTTTTTCAAAAATACTAGTACGCCATCTATCGAGCAAAAAAAACATTTTTTTTTAAAAATTTTAAGTGCAGAAAGAACAGAACAGGATCACGATTCTTTATGGTTATTCGTTGTAGTTCACTGTATTCAAGTTCAATTATTCATTTTTTGAGTTTTTAACAATAAAAAAAATTTACAAAAATTTATTTGGTATCAAACCAAAAAGTGTCGTGAAATCGGCTCGTTTTGAAGGTACAATTTGTCTATTGGCAAACGGGAGATTATATACCACTTTTGATGATAGAATGACAAAGCGCAGGAATTTTTTCCACTTTCTCCATTAAGTTATTTTTGTGTTTGTGTAATTTGCGGTTTACCACAAATGCTAAATCATTTAGTGCAGTAAATAAAAAAACAAGTAAAAAGGATAGTAATTAGTTACATTTATGCTTTGTATTAAACCCAATTTATTCTTTGTGCACGACAACAGTTTTCAAAACTGTCATCTCCTTCTTTTTTTCTACCAAACACTCAATTTACCGTAGTTAAAGAAAATAGAAATTATCTCAGTGCAGTCGTGAGCCGAAAAATTTGTGTAACTTAATGAGCAACTGAAATGTCATAAATTATTTGTTTAAAACAATCAGCTATTCAGCTAAACTCAAAATTTAAAATTTAAAATAAATATGCTTGGTCAGAAAAAAAATGCTGACATTGACAAATAAAAGTACAACAATACAATATCTGCTGCAATCATTTGGACAACACTTAATGTTAACTGCACAAAAAAGTGGCGTTGCCACTACTACGACTGAAACCTCAAAACAAAAACTACAATAAATTTATACAGCAAACACTTTGCATTAAATCACTTAACAAACATCTCAAATTATATTAAAATTAAAAACTTAAAAATTTTTATTTTGTTTTTTCAGTTCAAAGTTGTGCTTTTTAGTTTGTGGAATCAAGAAGAAAAGCAGTTTTAAGAAATGTTTTGCTGGTTGACTGGTCGGGTCAGTTGTTTGAAAACCATTCCACTTTAAATTTTAGCCAGGGCTGCTTTGATGCCGGCCCAGGTTTCTAAGCAGGCGGGCTTGATCTGGTTAGCCGGCAGCTGGAAGCCGTACTGGCCCTTGTCGCGCAGCTCCAGAGCAAAGGAGATCTGAATGCCGGCCGCCTCGTAGACCCAGTCAGCACTTGAGCCGGAGGCAATGTCTGCAAGGTGAAAATTATATGAAAAATATGTTCAATATAGGCAAAAAGTTTAGTTTAAAAACCGGTGCTGTGGTGAATACTCACAGATAGCCGTGGCAATGGGTCCCTCGGTAAAGGTCAGTCCACCGGTGGCCTTAATGGCTGCGATGCCCGCCTGAGAGATCTCCTTTAGCTTGGCGGAGTTGGTGGGCAGGGCCGTTTTGTAGCCGTACGGGTACATCCACAGTTGCGAGTAGCTGTGAATGGCAAAGTAGGCCACCGTCTGGGTCTTGTACTGGTTTACCAGCTCGGACATCTGCTTCGCCTCCACCTCGGAGAAGGCCGAATCGCCGCAGTACGTCTCAGAGCAAGGGTTCGTCGAGGCGCCCTGGGTGCAGAAGGAGGTGGCCCAGCTTGAGAACAGAGAGAAATCAGCACGACATTAACAACCCAGTCAAGGCAGTTAAAACACCCAAACTTACTTTCGGTTGGGATCAGCACCGTAGCAGGAGGGGTTCACCTTTGACCTGGAGCGGGTCTTTCGCCACAGTCGGTTGTTGGTGTGCGTGTAGACGAAGCCGTCGACGTTCAGCACCGGCACGACGATGAACTTGTAGGTGCTGAGGAGGGCGGCGTTGGCGGGGTCATTGATTAGCGCATTGGAGACCCAGGTGCCGAAGGCGATGGTGACCCACTCTCGCGAGTGGATGCCGCATTCGAGGAAAACCACCTTGGAGCCAGAGCCGATGGCCAGAGCGGGGATCTCCCGGCCCTCGTAGGTGGTGCCCACCTTGATGTACGTCGCCTTGGCTGGGTCTGGTGAAAGGAGGGAAAAATTGATGTCATGTTAATGTCATGAGATAAAAACCTGTTGGAAAGTTTTTCTTTTCAAACTACTTACAAGTGGTGGCCAGGTACTTGATCTGCTTGAGAATCTCGTCGTAGGTGTGGTACTTGGTCTCGTAGTCGTAGTTGGGATCGCGCTGGCCTCTGGAGGCCATCACCATCTCCTGGCGCTCCTGCTCCACCACCTTCTGGTAGTTGTGGTGCACCACCTCGTAGCCGATTCGGGAGTAGTTCAGCGCAGTCAGGAACTGGCTTCGCTGCGGGTCGATGATGGTCAGCACAGGTCGCATGTCGGGCATGGCCGGGTTCCAGAAGTCCATCTAAGGTAAAGTTTTTTTCGGTTTAGTCAAGATGTTTTCAAACTCATGCTCAAATAATTAAGTTTGGCTTGCTTACCTCATACTCCAGCTCAAGCTTTCGCAGCTGTTCGAGGTGTTCGGCACTGGACGGCTGAATGCGAATCACCTTGTGCTGACTGAAGTCGACCGGTCCTTGGTCGTTTCTGGTGAAGCTGATGCCTGCCAGGCAGAAGGCTGGCAGCAGTGCCACCAGCGAGCAGAGCAGGTAGAAGCGCATCTTGGCGGTGTACGGCAGCAGCAACAACAACCAACTAATTGGGTGTCAGGTTTCGAAAGGTTTTAGAATGAACTTTGGTTGCGGCTGCTGTTGGTTCTGACAGCAGTGCCTTCAAAACTGACTGAGGCAGTGCTGGAAACGAGTGGCTATTATATAGTATTTGAGATTTTGATGCTGTTGCTGCAGACGGACAGCTGACTGGAGAAAAAAAAGTGGGGGAAGGAAAGTTTGGACGTTATGACCATGGCCGACAACAGCATCAACAGCATCATCAGCATCATCAGCATCAGCATCACCAACGTCAGCATCAACAGCACCGACACCGAGGTAACCTATCAGTGTACAGCACTTTCACACCGACACAGAGACACACTCGCAAACATTTGCTGGTTTAGTGGTGCTCTTGTTTGCTGTTTTGCCTCACCAGTGTTTGCACAAACACACACACACACTCATACACACTTCGAACCACTACAACAAACTCCGACAACTCTCACTTTCTCCTTCCATTTGGCTAATCATTTGGCTGATGCTATCACCAATGTCATATTTACAATACAGCACATCACACGGTCTGGACATCCTGCACTGGTGAGGAGAAAGAGTAGTGAAACTGATCGCCACTCAATTGCTCTCTCTTTTTCTCTCTTTCTCACTCAGCAGTATGCAGCACCTGAACTCAATTTATCATCACCCCGGGCACCACTTTTATTGTTTTATGGGTTGACAAATGAAATGAATGATAGTGATGAAGGGGAAAGGGGGAAAGAAAGTAGCCCACTTGATAAGATCTACTGGATACCTTCGTCAAGTTTGCTTGCTATTCACTTAAAATTTAAACAATTTGTGCAATTTAGTTTTCATGTTTGTAAGAAATTTTTTCCTTTGATTTAAAAATTATTTAGTTCTGAAATTTTAAAATGTGTTTTTACATTTTCAGAAACGCTTTGTTTTAAAAAGCAATGCTACTTTTTATTCTGTTTTATTTTTTTCTATGCTTTATTTTATCTGTAAACAACAAAGCAAAAGTAGTTTTAGCTTTTTATGTTAACTCATAAAAAAATAAATGTGTTTCAAGGTCATTAAAAACAACTGTATTTTGAAGTTTAAATAATATGCAAAATGTTTTGTTGCTTTATCAAGCAATTGTTTTGCTTTTAACAATTGCTCTTGTTTAAATATTTTTTTCAGTTTACATTTTGTAAACAGTAAAATCAAGCAATGAAAGTCATTTTGACAAACTAAATTTATCATTTTTTTTATTCTCAATTTGCTATCCCAGTTTTATCTTCAAGTACAATGGATTTGTTAGTCACATGCGTTTCAATCTTTGCATTTGTTTTAAAAGCTTGCATAATGCAACAAATTTTTTTTGTACAGAGCATATCTAGAAATTGGCCAACACTTTTAAATTTTTCCTGCGCCAAAAACTGCAATACAAACTTAAATGGCCATTGGCCAATCAATTTTAAAATTTTGTTGATAACATTACTTTTAAGTGCTAATAAGAAAAATGTTTTAGTGCGTGTAAAAAATAAATGATGCAAAAACCCAGAAGTTTCTCCGGTAATAATTCACTCCTGTCAAACTTAATTGACTTGTGACATTAGTGAAACCAATGTTCTCTGATTGGTCGAGGCAGATTTTTATCACATGTGTTTTAGTCCATGTTTAACACACTTGCAGACGCAGTGATCTTGCTGTTTAATAAAACACTTTTGCTTTCATCTCAGTGTGTCAGTGTGCTTGTGTGTGAGTGTGTTTGTTTTTAGTCGAGTTGTATATCATAAAGTCTATACTTGCTAGTCTGAGTGCCGCTTTCGTAGATGAGAAAACACTGTATTTGCTGTTCAGCGGTCGTGGCAGCATTGTTGAAACCCCAGGTATTGTAGTTGCTGATAAGCCAGTAGAAACAAAGTGTGCAAATGTGTCTGGAGTCATTCTGTCGGTCATTAAGTTAGGCCTCAATAATATCTGTAAAACAACTTGATTTCAAGTGCTATCAGACTGTTGGTTGACAGTGTTGTCAGGGTAGTGAAGGAAAAACTGCAGGAATAAACTGGCTCAAACATGATTAGTGCAAACAGCGTAGTGAGCCATAAACAGTGTAGGCTGTTGCTGAGGCATCGGCGGTACTTCATTTCATCAGTTCACATTAGGACTGATCAAGGTTTTTTGCAAAGCACAGTAGAGCAACTTGTTACTGAGTACAGCTAACAAACAGTGATTGCATTTTATTTGTTTAAGGCCAAGGTTAATTAAAAACTACAAAATAATATTCAACTAAACATTTAAATTAGTTAAAACGTGTTTTTCTTTGATAAGTCAGGCTTTCCAAATGAAATCAGGTCGTCAATCATAGCTGTACCCTGTTGAATTTTGACAGTTCCATTGCGTCCCCATCCTTTTCCCCATGAGTTTGCGACAAGCCAGTAAGGAGTGTTTTTTTCCTTGCCCCAACCAATCAGCCTAACTGCGTGGTTTGGAAGTTTTCCATCCTTTCCATACACTGCATCGTTGCTGTAGATAAGACCGAGTTTTGCATCAGTTTCAAATTTTTGTCTTTCTGTTTTTTCAGGAACAAACATCAATGCAGTGACAGGTCCGTTTTTGTACATTTCCAGCTTGATCTTGTTAATGTGGTCAGAATCTTTAGAAGAAATAGTAGTCACTAGTCCAGCGCCAAAATGCTTATCTTTTAAGTATTGTTTCATTTTTGATTCGTCATCATGTTTCGCACTTAATACTTCAGAGCTTTCGCAGTTAAGAGTGCATGAAAATGAAACATAAGCTATTTTTTTATCACTAAAAATGTTTGGTTTGCAACCTTTTTCAATATCTGAACCACTTCCTGTGACTATTCCATTGGTGGCATAAAAATTCCAAGCATCATTTGACCAGCCTCCCTGACAACCATTATTTCGGTAATCATTCATACATTCCATTAAATCTTGTGTAGAAATCCAAGGCTTCTGTTGACCGTTTGAAGCAATGCAAATTCGATCAGAAATTGCGAAAGCAACTCCAAATGTCCTGTATTTAGTATAATTAAATTAATCATAATGTTTTGAGTTTTTGATTTAAGTTTTCCAAACATACCAACATGACCCGCAATTTCCTTGATCACCAATTCGACTAATCACATCACTGCACTGAGAAAAATAGTCTCGTGCATCAAAATGCTCAGGCAAACTGGCAATTTCGTTAGAGTGAGGAATGCTTTTTAAACTAGTCGGCAAAGAATGAAGACTAAAACCTAGTGGAACTCGAAGACCATAGTTTCCGTCAATTGGCTCCTATCAAGTTAAAAATTTTATTTAGTAAAAGTTCTGTAAAATTTAAAAACTTACATAAGCGTTAGTTGACCAAATCAAAATTGCAATGCAACTTAGAATTAAAAGTTTCATTTTAATCTTTAATATTAAAAGAAGAAACTTTTTTAATTTGAAATTTGACAAAAACTAGTTTGTATTTATAGTAAAACTAATGCTGCAATTTTTGTTCACTCAATGTTATTACTATTTTTGTACTAGTGATTAAGTTTTTAATTGTTTTAAATTTTTTAAAATAATAATACTCTAATTAGGCTACCAACTTTCAATTAAACTAAATTTTCAATTAGCAAATGAGAAAGATCGACAATTACCAATTTGAATAGATAAAAAACAATTAAATTTTATGTTTTAAAAACAATTTAAAAATAAACAGCAAGTATGCACTGTATCCAAGGATGAACTGCAACAAATCAATTAACTTTAGTGAACACACCCAAGTTACAACCAACGCTAAAGTACCTGAAAAAATCCCATCTTCGAGACCACTCCAAACGGTCCAATGGTAAATTAGAACTGCGCTGTGGTATGCACTCGCTCATACACCGCCATCAGCTTAACCTTGAACGGGCTCACCTTCAGGTGGGAAGAGCTGCGCAACGCCAGCTGCGCCCTCTGCAGCACATCGGCGTTCCTGTGCAGGAGGCCGTTGAAGAGGAGAAAGAGCGCACAGGAGGCGACACTGAAACCGGACTGGACGAAGATGACCGAACTGAGGAAGACCTGCTCGCCGACCATCAGCCGGTCGAAGAGGAGCATCTCGAGGATGAGCGCATCGATGAGGATGTTCGTCCAGAAGGTGACCACCATGAAGTCGGACAGCGTGTGCTCGTTGGTGTACCGGCCCAGCGCCTCCGTCCGACACTGCTCGCCCACCAGCGCCACCAGGTGGTGCTGCAGGAGGATCACTTGAACGCTTGATTGTGAGGGTCCCTGCTGAAAAAGAACGGCGGTGCTGCGGCGAACCCGGCCCCGAAGCTCGTTCAGGTGCCAGCGCTGACCAGAGTGGGCATGGCGGTGAAGTGGACGGCGAAGCAGCAGATGCGGTTATTGTTCCAGGTGAGCAGCAGCGCCATCACCCGCAAGTCGGCGGCCAGCAGCGTCAGCTGAAGAAGGGACAGCTGCGGACAGATGAGGCGGTAGAAGATGAGCAGCACAAGGAGGAGAAAGAGGATGAAGCAAACTGTGAGGCAGAACAGAACACAGTGGTTATTATTGCTTGTTATTAGTAACAATTAAAAAGGAGTAAAAAGTTATCATCATTTTTTAAACTGACATCCATTGAAAAGTAGAACGGCCATTAGCGTCTCAAGAAAGTGCGCCAGGACGACCGCCTTTGCGCGTACGTTGTGAGAAAGTAGTGGAAAAAGCCAAAGCGTTTTATCAATGAGCTGTGCCTGTTTCAGCTTGCAAATCGCCCGCTAATTTTTTGCCCAGTACTTGTGCTCGCCAATCAACTGTCGATTAAGCCTGATAAAGTCCCTGCAGTTTTGATGGATCAATTCATGGGCAATTTCCACCAGGTAAGCATTAAAGTGAAAGAAAATGGTGTAGTCAGTGTAGAAGGAGTAGATGGCCAGCAGATCGCAGCAGGCAAAAGCGTACTTCACCGACATCACCGAGAACTGCTCGGCGGCGCAGATGAGCATCGGTAAGAGGAGCAGTGAGTACCAGTTGGAGTGGTCGAGGGAGAAGGCAAAGGCTGCCGGCTGAACGGATGATTCCTGGTGTTGAATGGACGCCAGCAGAAAGCTGCGACACCTCAGCGCGCCACAATACAAGTAGAGAAAGAGTTTGAAAGCGAAAAAACGCCGGTACGAGGCACTGGCCAGCGCAGCTCGGAACCCTTAAAAACTCTTGTTCATCTTCAACAACAGCAGCACTTGACTGAAACGTACATCGACGGCGCTAAACTGAGCAAACTTAATTGCTAAGTTGAAAAGAGTCTCTAGCAGGTACATGATGCTAGAAAAGGTTTAACTTAAAAAAATTGTAAAATTTTGATGAAAAAAACTAAAGAATTTTTAGTCAACAAAATTGTTTATAATTAGCTTTTTTAACAAGACATTTAAGAACGTTTATGTAAAATTAAACAAATTAGTACAGTTATTAGTACAGTTATTACATTTATTGTCATTACGCAAATTTTGTATTTTTTAAAGCGTACATTTTGTTGGAAAAATGCAAATGGTCAAAAACTAATGATATTCATCTGTAAATTTTTATTTCATTTTAAACAATTTGTGAATGTGTAACAATTAAAAAATTTAAAATAGCATTTAAAAGTTTATTTTAAATTTTCAAAGTTAAAACCTAAAATTGCTTTTGTTTAAAAAATTAAAATGCGTGGTGTTATTGTTCTATTGACGTGTTTTAGAACATATCAAACCCTTACCCCTTGAATATAAACAAAGGTTTGACGTAGCTTTAGGTTACTCCTAGCTAGTCTTAGCAACTGTTAGCTAGCCTCTCGTCTGTCTGTATTCCTCTTGCACCCCTTCAACTCATTACAAATGTTTTAAAAAACATTAAAACTTAATTTAAAATAATGTGTTACAATAACAAAACATTATATTTATTTTGTAGCAAATAATTTTATGCCAACTATGTAAGATTTTACATGCGCTGCATATTATTAATTGCTAAAGGTAAAGCAAAACAAAAATAATGCAAAGTTTATTCATAATTTTTATTCATTTAAAAAGTTTGTACGAAAAAATGAGTACTTTTAAGTAGAAAAAAGCGTTCTGAAATAAAAACAGTTAATTGCAAGCAAAAAAATAAATTATGCGTTCAAGTGCAACCCAAACCACTAGTTTTACCTTTCCAAAGGTGCGGTAGGTGCACTTTCCGTATCGAGCGTAGTTGAAGGTGTACATGTTGCGCGTGTGAAAGGCGCCAATAAAGTGGGCCAGCTTCATCCGCTCCAAGACGGTCCAACTGGCAGTGGAGCGAGTGTCCGCCGAACCGTGAAACAGCCTCACCACCAGGCGGTGAAACTGCGGCGGCACTTTGGCAAAGATGAGCGACAGAATGAAGATGACCAGCAGCTGAACGGCCACAAAGACGGCACAGGCGTAGGCGAAGGGGCCAGACAGGCGGCTCATTAGCAGCATCATGAGGAGAAGGGCGTTCAGCGGCAGGTTGGTCAGCATGAAGCCGAAGACGATCTGCCCGAAGAGGCGGTTCACGTCGGCCAGCAGCGGTATGACCAGCGCGTACTGGCCGCTGATGGCAGAGAAGTGCTCGTATCGGAGGCGGCCAAGAGGACGGGCCCTGTAGAGGAGGCCCCGGTACAGTCGTTCCGTCTGTTTGATCTTGAGGAAGATGGCCAGGCAGAAGAAGACGCCCAGGCTGGCGGCCAACTTGAGCAGGTAGAAGGTAAAGTCGAGGGAGAAGAGCAATGAGGCGGCGTTCAGCTGCAGCAGCAGCAGGGCGGGAAAACTGGACCGGCAAATGTACGACCAAATGAGCATCTTTCGAATGTACAGTTCGGCAAAGTAGACATCTGAAAGTTAGTTAGCATTAGTTTGTTGTTTGTACTTTAGCTCAAGTTCCACATCATGATCAAGAAGTGTTGCACTGCAAACTTACTCAAAAGAATGAACACAAAGTTGACACAGTTGGCAGCAAAAAGTGTAAACAGCTGAATGTTTTCCACTAGTGTCTTCTCATTGATGTTGATTTTGAATACTAGCTTTATTGCCTTGGCTGACTCTTTAAAGAAAACTTTTGTTTTACCAAAAAACTTGTCATTGTTTTCCAGGAGCAGCTCTCTAAGAAGGGCACTGCAAATGCCATTATTGCGGTAGTAAAGAAGGTGCATAACTTTTACCGCGTAAAGCAAGTATACTATTGAGAAAAGGTTAAAGTAGTCGGGTAGATTTTCAAATGCTACTAAATTAAAGTATAGCCAATTGCTGTAATCGTCAAACGAATTTTGTTTCCAGTAAATCCACAGCACCTGAGCCACTCTTGAAAAGGCACAGTAGTGTAGAAAGCTAAAAACAAAAGTAACTTTTTCATTTTTGTTTTTTAACAAATTTATTAAACGATGATAAGTTTCAAAATGTTTGAGTGTTGTAAACAAAGAAATATTTACATATTTTTTAATTAAAAGTTGAGTTAGCATTTTGAAACAAACAATAATGTTTTTTTATTAAAATGCTGAGTTAAATTCTTTTTAAAAATAAAATTATTAAAAAAAGTTTGGCTGATAATTTCATAATGTGACAATAATGTGTAAAGTTGACAAAAGTTTATAAAAATAGCGTACAATTTATGAGCGTCAAAAATGAAAAATAGTTATGCAGAATTGCACTTAATCAAATTTTAAATGACAATACATAAATATTCAGCAAACCAAAAAACAATGTTGTTTACGATACAACAAAAACAAAATTTTTTTAAATAACAAAAAAACAAAGCACTTAAATTGAGTAATTGAACATATTTTTTAAATTAAGAAATAACTTTACCAAATTTTGTGTTAGTTATAAAATTTAGTTAACAATTTAAAAAAAACAAAAAATTATTTTTTGACAAGCTTAATTGCAAAAATAACAAATTTAAAATAAAAAATAATTGCTAGAATATTAAAAAATTTTAGTAAACAAGTAATTTATATTTATAAATGCATATTTTGTTAAATGATCATTTAGAGCAAACTTACTTTTCCACAAGACCGATATGTAATTTTTCCTTTATTGCCATAGTTTACTGTGTAAAGATTAGTCGTGTGAAAATACTCAATGTATTGCGATAGTTTTAGTCTCCATTTGAATGACCAATTTTTGCTTAAACGTTGTGAACATTTTATAAACTTTTTAACCGGTTTATGTAATTTTACACTTAGTTTGACTGCAAAAAAAGAAACTAAAAAAATATAACATATTTGATTCATAAAAATAAGGCTTGCAATAAATGACAATCTTGGATTCAATTTATTGTTTAGAATTAGTATTAACAAAACGGGGTTGAACGGCATGTTAATGATTTGAAACAAAAACATAACTGATCCATAAATTCGATTAATATCAGCTAGCCAGATTAACGATGTCACGTTTTGGTTTTGAAAAAACACAAATTGCGTTGTTTTTAGTTCATACACTTTAATTTCTAAAACAAATTGTTCTATTTGTTGTAATTTTATGTAAGAAATTATAACAATAATTGTTCCAATGACTGAATATAATGATGAAACATAAATCATAAAGTCTAAGTTAAATACAGAATTTAAAAAGTTGAAAGTGTAAAATGAAAACAACCAATTATCGTAAATTGAATTAAATTTAAAATAATAAAAATGATTGAAATAAATTTCAGTAAAACACAAATCTAAAAGAAAATATTAATTTTTATACAATAAATAGAAACATTTTTCATACTTGCTGATATTAATCCAATTCTAAAAAGATTTGCAACTATTATACTAAAAAATCGAATGTTTGCCACAATTGTTTTTGCATTTAAATCATGTAAAAAAATATTTTTAAAAATTTTGTGAAACTTTTTGTTAAAAATAAAAAATGAGTTTAAATAAAATGATGAATCGTTGTGCACAATTGCTTGTTTGACTACTTGATTTGTAATTGAGTTGTTTATAAACATCATTAAATAAAACATTTTTAAAATTGTGTAACTATTTAAAACAATGCAAAAAATTAGGTATTTTGGTAAATCAACAAGAACAATAAAATTAAAATGAAGAACATTTTGAAAATTTGTAAAATTGGCAAAGTTAATCCATGTTAAATGTATAATTTTTAAAATTAAATTGCAACATATGGCACTTAAAACAAAAATTGTTTGAATTTTTTGTGCATTAACATGTTCAATAATTTTAAAATATTTATAAAAATAGTTTATTGAGGACGATAAAGATATTTTGTGCAAAATAATTATAAAAAGTTCAAAACATGACTTTAAAATATGTTTCATTTTTATTTAAAAAGTTTAATTTACAATTTTACAAAAAGAGTTGATAGTTAAACTGCATATTATTAATTCATTTTAAATGACAGTTAAAACAAAAAAAACAAATGTTTAACAAACTTACGTCAAAAGTTATGTTTGCATTGTTTTTAGTTTTTATTTAAATAACCTAGTTTTACAAACACTTGTAAAACTTATTTTATTTGTGTTGTCAAATTTAAAAATTTAAGTATAACCCTACAACAAAATGTTAAAGAATTTTTTTATTAAACGAAATAAAAATTTTTACATTTTTTTATTTAACAACTTTGTAACGTTTTTCTTTTATTTAAACGCAAATATATCTGATTTTGCTTGAATAATTTGACTAAAACTCATCAACACATAAGC